TGGCAGCGGTGGTGAGCTTCCTCATCGTCTTCACCATCGTGGGCAACGTGCTGGTGGTGATAGCAGTGCTCACCAGCCGGGCGCTGAGAGCCCCCCAGAACCTCTTCCTGGTGTCCCTGGCCAGCGCGGACATCCTGGTGGCTACCCTGGTCATGCCTTTCTCCTTAGCCAACGAGCTTATGAATTACTGGTACTTCGGCAAGGCTTGGTGTAACATTTACCTGGCGCTGGACGTGCTCTTCTGCACCTCCTCCATCGTCCACCTGTGCGCCATCAGCCTCGACAGGTATTGGTCAGTCACACAGGCGGTGGAGTACAACCTCAAACGGACACCTCGGCGGATCAAGGCCATCATCCTCACTGTCTGGCTCATTTCAGCTGTCATCTCCTTCCCACCATTGATCTCCATGTATCGGGACCCTGAAGGAGATGTCTTTCCCCAGTGCAAGCTCAATGACGAGACATGGTACATCCTTTCTTCTTGCATTGGCTCTTTCTTTGCCCCCTGCCTCATCATGGTGTTGGTCTATATCCGCATCTACCGCGTGGCCAAGCTAAGGACCAGGACCCTCTCTGAAAAGCGTACAATGCCAGAGGGGTCCTCCCAGACTGAGAATGGCTTGAGCCGCCCTGCTGGGGGCTGCACATCTCTGAGGATGCAACTGGGAGAGAATGGACATTATTCAATGCACCACTGGCGCAAAGCCTCTGAGCTGGAGGACATTGAGCTGGAGGAGAGCAGCACCTCAGAAAGCAGACGGAGGCGGAGCCGGGAGGAGCATCCCCGCAAAAGCAGCAAGAGCCAGTCCTTCTCCTACTCATATTCCTCCAAGCACTCTAGTAGCCGTCTGTCCCGCTCTAGCAATCGCTCCATGCAGTTGTTCTCGTATCGCCGTCGCCGGAAGCGTAGCAGCATCTGCCGTAAGAAAGTCACCCAGGCCCGGGAGAAACGCTTCACTTTTGTGCTGGCCGTGGTCATGGGAGTCTTTGTAGTTTGCTGGTTCCCTTTCTTCTTCAGCTACAGCCTCTATGGTATTTGCCGGGAGGCATGTGAGGTCCCTAAGACTCTCTTCAAGTTCTTCTTCTGGATTGGGTATTGCAATAGCTCCCTCAACCCAGTCATCTACACCATCTTCAACCAGGACTTCCGCAGGTCCTTTAAACACATTCTCTTTAAGAAGAAGAAAAAGAACTTCCGGCATTGAGCTGGAGAGATGGATTTGCCTTTAGCAGGAGGGGAGTTAAAAGAGAAGGAGAAGGCTCTACGCTGAAAAATAAGGGAGGGAGGAGAACATGCATGGGGTTTGGGCTTAGAGAGAAGGAAGAGGGGTTGCTCCCTCAGTGGTGCAGAGTGGTGTTGTGGGTTACCGGAACGGTGTTCGGGAGGCTGAGGGCATTCACCATTGTGCAGAATGGCGACATGGTGCTGCAGGAGCGGTGCTGGAGTGTGGATGGGTAAAGGGGGACAGGAATGATTGTCTTTGAACCTTGATGGAGGGCATGGGGAGTCCACAAAGAAAACTAGGCTAAGACACTGAGTTTGGGAGGCAGCGAGCTTTTATAGGCTCTGGAATTTTGTGGGAAAAGAAGCAGAGGCATCAAGAGGAACAGATAAAGTGGCAGTGGTGGTGGAGATTTGAGTATTTATAAATAGAGCAGCTGGGGCCTGCAGTGGGCTTGTCCCAGTAAGAAATTGGCTTTTACTGTTTATGTGGGGAAAGAAAGTGCAAAGTACCAGGCACTGACAGTCTTTTGAATTATGAAAGGATTTAAATGTTTGCCAAAAAAACCCTAAAGAACAATCCAAACTCTTTTCTAAATAAACCTTTGTACTGTTAAAACCTTCTGAATGATGATTTTACACAGGGCTTAAGTCAAACAGAAAGCACGGGGTTTTCTTTTTCTTTGGAGGGGTTTTTGCATTTAGAGCTGGATGGGAAATGTTTTTCCTGTCTTCCCATAATTTTTGATTTGTCAGTGGGACAAACCTGGGAGTCTTGCATGTTTTCATGAAATATGAAAAAGAACACATGCACCCCATGACCTTATTTCCCCCTGTTGGATCATCAGGCTGTAAAGTCCTGCTCCATCCCTTTCGGATCAGTAACCTAAGCACCTCGCTGTCCTGGAGCAGGTAGTGAAAAAAAAAAAAAAAAACAACCCACCAACATTTTGATGAACTCAACTAACATTTTCTGAATTAAAAGAAAAAAATCAAATTTCCAATCAGCTCAATTTGCATGTGCTCTGGGGAACTTTTTTCCCCTCTTTTTAGGTCCCCTTCAAAAGGCTTATCTCAGGGGCTGGATGCATGCTGCTCTCACTCTCAGACAGGCAGTTGGAGGCAGTCTGCTGTGCAGATTTTCCAAGGAAGAGCAATCACCACAACACTAAGGTCTTTAAATCCTTCGTATTTACAGTCTTAAAGCAACTAAATCCTTTATATTTATTTTTTTAATGAGAAGCATACATTGTGGATTGTCAGTGGTGTATGCGAACAAATCTCAAAAGAAGGTGCAGCTGTTCCAAACCTTTAATATTAATGCTACTTTCTTTCCCTTTTCCTGTTTGCATTTCTAGTTTACAATTTTAGAGGATTTTGTTGGGGGGAAGGGAGGGATGCAGGGAGAAGAGTTTGAATAGTTTTTAAAGCAAACTGGGTTTATAAAATGTCATAAACTGTAATGAAAAGAATGAGAGACAGGGACTGCTGTCTGTACACTCGTTGCTGAATGCGTACGGAGTGTGAGACCCATCTGAGCACTTACATCCCTTCTCCAGTTGTGCTGCTGCAAGGTGTGTATTCTGTCTGTGGGGTAGATACTGCTCCATTTTATGTGTGTCACTCCTTCCATAGGCAGCAGGATTTGGCATCTGCCTCAAGTGAACCTTTCCATAGTAAACAGCTCTTTGAAAAATAGAACAAAATCTATTCTCATACAGCAGGCTTCTTGAAACAGCTAAATTAAATCTATACCTGAGAATCATTAGATATCCCCTTCTTTACTCCCTCTGTTCTGTCTGAAAGGTGTCTGTAGCCCCTCTTCTCTTGAAGTCTTTCTGGTATGAGGAGAAGTGATAGAGCAGTCACTTTGTTTCATCATTTTTTTTCATAATTGATTTTCAGCATTTGGTTCACCTAATCCTGGAAAAGGAGGTTTTAGTGGCTAAGATTCTGGTGTTAATTCAATAGACAATTTAACTTCAGGGCTAACTTAAGTGGGAGTTCTGCCGAAGAAAGGATTAGATGATTGCACCAAATGCTTTAGAAGTTTGCTTGATTTCACTAAAGAAAAAACTGAGACATTTTCAAAGTCCATAGCTTATTGGATCCTTTCTTGAAATAAGGCTTCAAGTTGTGAAAAGATTTGAGCTTTGTTTAAACATTTGCACTTAAAGAAAGGATGTTAAGACTTGTTTTCAGGAGCATTCCTTTGTACCAAATAATGTTTTGGTACAAGTACGTACGTGACACAGATAAATATGAGAAATAGCAACCGAGAGGAGGAAATTACAAGCCATTTTCTCTTTTGCAAAATGTAGAATTATTTCTAAAGTTACATCAAGAAGAGCTGAAACAAGATCATATTATTTGTAGGTAACGATGTAGCTAAAAAGTTCAGGTTTGTTTAATCTGAAGAAACTGTATAATCGCCAGAGCAACCAAAGCAACATATGGTACATAGCTACTACCTCTGAGCTACTGGGCGGCTTCATGAGAGATAGCCATTCCTACCAAGATAAAGGTCTGCTTTTGTCACTTAATGCTCATTTGGAGTGGTTTCCCAGTCTGCAGACACACAGCAGTTTCACTGTTGCACTGCTTCTGAAGTGAGATTTGTTGTCTGTAAACGCAATCCTTCCCCTTTGTTTTTCCTTGCAGAATTCAGGGAGTCTATGGAAACGAAATTTAATTGACAGTCCGATTTTAGTGGAGGTGAAGTATATATGGAATGACTGATGTGCCTTAAAAGTAATTTCTTTGCTATAAAATTATTCTGTGGTCATTATAAACATAAAGGAAATAATGCTTCTGTTTTTGTTTTGCATTTCCAAATGTCTAAAAGGGATTGATGCAGATACTGAACGTCAATGTGCAGCAGCGTACTTAAAAACGGGGCATTTTCTGTGGTTTTAGTTTATTTCTCATCACAGCTACTCATCTGATTCAATGCCTCGAGAGAATCTTAATTCTTCTGAGCTAGATAAAAAGTAATATTCACCAATAAAGATGTGCCATATACACCCCTTTTAAGTGCATTTCCCTCTAAGTTAGTGAATACAGAGGATTTCTATAAAAATTGTTTTTAATGTAACTACTGACTATGCTTCAAGGAAGTAAAATGGGGCTGATTTATTTTTTTAATTACAGTGTTCTCTTATTACTTGTAATAGCTGAAGACTGGAATTTGTTTGTAACATACTGTGTGGTGTTAACTTTTCATAAAAAGTTATCAGCTCTGCTACTCACACTGTGGTTGTGCTTCCACTGTAAGTTGGCTAATAGCATACACGGGAACAAAATAGTCGATGCAGCTTTTGCTTAAGAAAAAGGGAGAAGGTACTTCATGTTTGAAATAAGCCCAGTTGTGTCTTTGATCACATCTTAAGAGCTGGTTGAAACACTCGTTACTCTTGTGGAAGAATGAAATGTTACTATGAAGCCATATTGATTTTAACAACAAGCACCTGATCTTTTACTGTTCATTTGCTCATTTCACCACAAAGAAAATTTCTGTCAGTTTAAAATGGGAAATTAATGTTTTATTTTTGAAACCAATTTTCTGAACAGTACCACTATTGGTTGGTTGTTGCAATATCAAACAGTACAACTCAGCTGGGACAGGAGCTCAGTGCTGCTGTCCTTCAGCCCTCTCCTGTGGGAGTTTTGCATGAGTGAGAACTGCAGAATCAGCCTCTTCAAGGCTTGGGGCAGATAGAAGGGGCCTTATATATAGGAGTTTTGACAGAATCACAGCTTTAAATCGTTGTCTAAAATAAGAATCAGGCCCTTGTTGTTCTGTGTGATCTCTGTTCAAAAGAGTCACGTTGCTCCAAGAGCACTGGCAATTTCTGAGAAGTAGACCTGAAAGATTATGTGCAACTAGCTTTGCCCACATTGAGCTGTATCACCCTTTGTGAGTAATCCCAGAAAACTTCAGGAAAGTTTACTTGTGAGTAAGGGGACTACTCAGTATGGGCAAGGATGTTACGAGCTTCCTTAGACA